TCTGTGTGTGTGTGTGTGTGTGTATCTGTGTGTGTATATCTGTGTGTGTGTGTGAGACTCACGCAGCAGCAGCAGATGAAGACGATACACAGCGCCTGCAGGACTCCGGCCGTACCGACGACCCACGTCAGTCTGAGGAAGAGAATCACGCCGAAGATGTTCTGCAGGCACGGCAGATACACGCCCATGAAGGTGCCCATCTGAGGAGACTGACGCCAAACACAGGGAATCATGGGAAAAACACTCACTGAATCAACATGATCTGACACAAAGCTGGGATTTAGCGTGAGAAAGCAGCGTTTTACTGCGTCTGGAGCCTGTTTATAACGTATGTGTGTGTGTTTCACCTTGCTGCACTTGCGCTTCTCGCCAATGCTCTCGGCCTCCTCGTGCTCTTTAGCTCCCTGCATGAGGTTTGTGTAGTTCGCCAGACGATTGAGCAGAGACGACACTTTGGGACGAGTGTCCATCTCCTCCTACAGAGAGAGAAAACACACACGTCAGATGACAGGAATATAACGTACACTCATCAAAGAGAGGGGAAAAAATGGGTGAATATAAAAGAGACGATAAAAAGAGAGTCTGTCAAGAAAAGTTCAGAAAGAAAATAAAGGCTATTTTTAGAACTGTAAAGATTTCTTATATTATGATATTATTTCCATAATTAAGATTCCCTCCTACCGTTTTCTAATTATTTTAATTTAATTTAATAACATTCTTTAAAGTAAAACGGTAATTATTAGTGCTGTCAAAATTAGTGCGTTAACAAAAAACAGTTTTCCTGTCCTGTCAGCCGGTATACTGTCATCGTAGCAAATGCTCGTTCAACTGCACGCACAAATGCGGAGAAGCGAGCTGTTTATCATTGCATATTAAAGCGCCAAAGAAACTACGATCATGTAATGTTGTAGTTATGTCGTCAGTTAAGTCATGAAGTTACCAAAAAGACGATTAAAGCTGCTTTAAAACTGTGCATGTAAGTATTTGTTATACGAGTCATATTTAAGAACATTAATTGTTCTGTCGTGGAGCAGCAGCACTGTCTCCCTCATCTAACACCTGATTCAGCTCCTCAGCTCGTTACAGAGACTTTAAGAGCTGCAGTGGGTCAGAAAAGGTAAAGAGTTATGAGAAACTACGAAGCGTGTCAGATCCGCGTCACGTTCAGCAGCCAAAATAACCTGATAACCAGCTGCTGTGATGCTGCTCAAAGAACTAAAGAAAAGAGAGGAAATCAATCACTTCTGTAGCTTTAAGGATTCATCTACATTTAATTTAGAATCTAGTGTTTGATAACTTTATTCTGTTTCTGTATATTTCCTACTTGCTGAACGGCACATAACTAAATCTGACATTTATTATAATGGGTTTATGTGAAAATGGCTTTAAGTTCAATTAAATTAGAAGTTGTTATATTTTAAAGTCTAATAGATGTTCAGATTGACAGCTTTCAGTTATACTGTAATGTTGAATGGCTAGTCAACGGTTAAACAATTCTATCAGTGAGACCCGCCTTCAGTCAAGAAAAAGATGCCATTAAACAAATATTAAAAATATACTGTCTTTATGTCGTTTCTACATTAATTTGGAGATTGAATGTGAAATTATTGCAATATAAAAGCATTAGTGCTGTCAAATTATTAATCGCAATTAATCGCATACAAAATAAAAGTTTTTGTTTACATAATATATGTGTGTGTACGGTGTATATTTATTATGTATATATAAATACAAACACATACAGTATATATTTTGAAAATATTTACATGTATATACATTTATATTCTTATATTATATATAAATATATTTAATATATTAACATAACATATTTCTCTTAAATATATACATGCATGTGTGTGTATTTATATATACATAATAAATATACACAGTATACACACATATATGATGTAAACAAAAACTTTTATTTTGGATGCGATTAATAATTTGACCGCACTAAAAAGTATATTTTAAAACTTTAATGTTAGGTGCGATTAATCGCAGAAAAAATTTGCGATTAATTATTTTTTATTCGATTGACAGCCCTAATAAATATACATAATGGTTGTTATTGATTTGCACTGAATTTAGTTTACATGATTTTAATTTTCATTAATGTTTAATTACATTTAAATGTTATTTTATTTAAAAACTGAAATAAAATAATATAAATATCACTGTAACATTGTTTTCATAATATGCTTAATTGTCATGAAAATGCCACAATGCAAAAAAAATTTATTTAAATGTAATAATTTAATAAAAGAAAGTATTTTTATTGTGATGTGCATTAAGTAAAACAATAAATATAAATCTTGATTGTTTTTCTGTGTGTGTGTGTGTGTGTGTATATATATATACACACACACACACACACATTTGTGAGATTCAGCCAACAAAAATGAGAGGACTAATGATATTGACAGCACAAACCTCAAACAGAGCCAGATTCCTGTCGTAGAAATCATCGTCATCAATGGCGTGAGAGTTATTGATGTAAACGCTGGACAGCTTCACACCACCATCACCTAACACACACACACACACACACACACATACACATACACACGAACACACCTGTTATTAATGTTTCTTAAGTTTAATGGGTTAATATGAGTGCTTGGGAAACCTGTTGGGAAACAATCATTTTACATTTTCATTTAGTGCTGCTACTGACACAGCAATGAGATAAAACAAAGATTTGGGCAAAATAAATGTGCATTTCAATGATCAATAAAGAACAACAGAACTGGACAGATGTGAAAGTTCAGTGACAGATCACATGACACTGTGCCACCATCAGCAAACACACTCTCACTTCCACAACACACACACACACACACACTCACAGACACACACACACACTCACAGACACACATACACACACACACACACACACACACACACACACTCACACACTC